TCTGAACCCTGAGTGACCAAAACCCATGCGACAACCTCACCTGAATGTGATATTGCACGTTCTGGTTAGCTAGATCACTGCTTCTGAAAGACGGGCTTGCTCTTCCTCAACTCTTCCCCCTCTCCCACTTTGCTTTGCCCCCACTGCAGGATGCTTTCTCCTCCTCCTGTCCTTCTCCCTCCACTAATTCACTGGAGCAAGCACCAGTAAAGGGTGAATACTTGGTTTCCTCCTTTTGACTAGGTGAGCTGTGAGATTCAATCAAGCCATACCACGCATCTCAAACGACTCTCAGCTTGGCTTAAACTCAAGAGGTCACAGGGAAACAGGGATTCTTCCTACTCTCTTGCTTTTAAATTTTTGTGTATTTTTGCAGCATCTCCATTTTGGGGGCTTATGCCTTTGACCTGCAGCTGTGAGGGTTTTCTTTTCCACTTGAAAGCTGGAACTGAAAACTTGTGTAATCACATGCATCCAAGAATGTGTTGTCGAAAGAATATCAAATGGACTGCCACTAGCAATATGGTTGTGAAGTCTGCAGCACTGGAACTGCCAATGCTAAACTAAAGAGAGATAAAATCCTGGACTCGATTATCTTCTCCCTTTGACTTTTTACTCTGTCACTCCACTGACTTTAGAAGACTTCAACTTTTCCCTGAAGTGCACTAGTAAAAGGAAGAAAAGAAAAGAAACAGCTGTTAAAAGTTTAATGTTTTTAAACCACTGTCTGCTTCAGGCTATTTTAAATGCTTTGACACTTCAGTTTTTGTAAAGTCTGTCACTTGGTTAAAATGAAGGTATTTTGCCACTGACAAAACCACACTAAGTGTTATTGAAAGATTTATTAGCCTGCAGTAATATTTTACAAATTGCCAAATATGTTGTTATCCCCTCTAATACAGTCCAAAGAAAACAGAACAAAGCAGTTACCAACCCTTCACTCGATTAGCAATAATTTTCTATCATGTAGCTGTGGCTGGAGCAGCCTGGCTTTGCAACTCTACAGCTGCTTGATACACAGCAAGCAGGGCTACAACATTACTGCTTCGCTTCTCACACAGAGCCAGAAAGATGAGAATGGGCAGAGGACAAGCGCAAATGCCAGGCAATTGTCCCACAGCCAGAACTGGTTGTAGAGCTTTGGGAAATGGGAATTCAGGGTGGGAGGCCACGCTGTAACATCCTGCATGGCCTCTGCACATGGGGGACAGCCCCACAGCTCTGTGGTAAGTCCCAGGTTGTGCAAAGGATGCCAAACAACTGTCCTTACATTCCTTCTGCCCCAGCAGCTCACTTGTAATACAGACAAAAGTTAGTATGCCTGCTTCCTATTTGCATCCTTATCTGAGATCTAAGAAAAGTACAAGATGCTCTAGAAGGAAATAAGCTAAAGGTCTTTTGTCAGAAAAGCATGGAATTTTGGATAACACACAGATTTTGAATGGACTCCTCTACAAATACACAGAGAGAAATAAAAAAAGGGCCAGAGAAACGGTATTCCGTTCCCAATGTTGGCATCATTCACTGCATGATTTCTGGCACGCGGTTTCTGGACAAAGCTGAGAATATATTGGAACTTTTAGTTAACTGATCAAACAAAATGAACCTAAAGGTGTTTTCAGGGCAACCAAAATGCAGATTTTCAATTAACTCATCAAATTGAAAACCCAGAGCATTGGAAATTGTTGCTTTCGAGACTTTTAGGCTTTGTTGAGCCTTGAAAAAATGGCCATTTTGAAATGAAAATGTCTTTTTAAAATGAAAGATTAAAAGATGTTGATTTTTCCTCTCTCCTCATTCTGCATTTAAATAATCTTGAGAAATTGATTCATAGTAACAACTTAGAAAAAAAAATATCTGCTCACCAATCTCTCTCTTAGCCATGAAGCCAGTAGGAGTTTTACCACCTACTTCAATGGTCAGAACTTCTTTATAGCACTTTGAAATTCTCACCTTAAATTTCCTGTGTCTCAGATTCCTCATTGGTGAAACGGAGCCTATAACATGCCTCCATTTTTTTGGCATAGTTACTTTGTCATGGTGGACCAAATAGTTCCAGATAATCGTTTGTCAATACAAATATTGTTTCAATGAACTAGATTCTGTCCTGACTTATTCAACCTAGTTCAAGTAGATGCAGTTTGGCAGAAAACAAGTCAGTGCAGAATTTGGTCTAGCTCTTTAAAGTTCTTTGAAGTCTCAGATGAAAGAAGTGAGTAATAAATGTAGCTCCTGAAACTAAAAGAAGAATGAGGTATCTTCATTCTGCAAGGAAAATGAGCCTAAACTCATCATTAATCAATACCCCAAAAATAGGAATAAAAGCTAAGCCACGAAGACATAATCAATCTGTTAGATGCTACATGACAGATGCATTGAAAAACAGCAACAGTAAAGAGACAAAGAAATGCAATCTTAACCTTTATATTTCAATGGGGATTTTAAGCAGACTTTTTCTTCCATTTTATATTCACTACTCTAATGCCCAGAGAACAGAAACTCTAATTACTGTTGCATGCTGAAGGCTGGCCAGTAATTATATATCTTTATCTTCATTAGATAAGATGTCTGTGAATAAGGCTTGGTCTGAAACAGAACAGGTAAACTAGAAACCCGGAGACACATTTTCAATTAAGAGCTCACTTTAAACTAGTGACTCATTTTAATGCTGCTGAAACCTGCCTTCCTACTGCGGATGAGTGAACTCTAGGGGGATGTTTGCAGAAGCCCAGAATGTCTTGATCTCTGGCTAGTGATTTCCTGTTTTGACACAGGGCCCACCATTAGCATCACTGTGCAATGATTGATATATGAATAACATTAAGCACATAAGCCTTTATTGGTATATTCACGTACTTACAATTAATGATAGATATACACTTAAGCAGTATTACCACTTTAACCTCTTTGCCAGGGTTATATACTACAAACTGTTGTAGATTTATATCAGACAAAACCATTACATAAATATCCAATCAACATGCCAAATCATTCTGATAAACTAAAATTTTGGAAAACAAAACTGATTTTTAAAATATCTTCCAAACGATATATTTGCTTTCAAATTATTTTTTCCAGTTCTCTGAAAAAACTAAAAAGTTAGTTAATCAGTGAGTTAGTGAGTGAAGATTTAGTCCATTAACTTCTACAACACAAGACAAGGACACCAAATAATTTCTTTCTGTTTTTAAATCTAGATCCAGTCCAACAGTTTGATATATTTGGCAGATTTACTAGATTCAAAAGGGCTCCATAGAAGAAAAAAAGACATCTTAATAAAGACAGTCAGAAAGACACATTTAATCAGAAAATACCAACATGGTGGCTATTCAGATAAATAGAAACCCTGAGCAGATTCTAAAAGGGAAACATAAACAATGCTGGACTTTGAAATTGCTTGAGTTCATCTTGTGTATAAGAAATTATACTGAAGAAATTACCTAAAACAAGTCCAATGAGTGTAAAGATTGCAAATTTTTGACAAAAAAAAAATTTAAATCTGTTTAGAGAGCACTCAAGAAAGATCATTTAAACCTATACCCAGCTCTATTCTTCAATTACCCTGCTCCAAGTTGTCACTCCATCTGTGACATGAAGTTACTAAACTTGTAGGTATGTTTCAGACTCCCAACAGTTTCCCATATGACAGTAACAACCAAGTACCTACACTCATCTTTGCCTGTATAGGCAAAAAACATCTACTAGGAAGAGTCGCCTTCAGTTAATGGGGCCCAGAGAGGCTTGCTTTGGAGCTAAACACGACCCTCAGCTGTTCAAATCCAAATTAAAATGAACTAACATAACAGGGAGAAAGCTTAGCAATCCAGTTACCTTTAGGCTAAGGCAAATTTCACAAAGGCCAAGTCCTCAATATGGTGCAGTTCACAAAAGTTAATGGGATAACAGTGATTTCCAGGAGCTGGAGGGGTGGCCTGTAGTATTTGTAATCATTTTCTGACGTGCCGGTTATGTTAAAAAAAAAATTCAATTTTAACTTCTATTTGTAGCCATGTCTCTCGTTTCCTCTTCTCAAGTGACAGCCACAGATAAGTTTGTGAAAAGATAAAAGTTGCTGTAGACAAGTCAACATTTCCGTCGCCATGCTGGAATACTGTCTACCATATCTCTCACAATCAGCACTGCTGACCGTGTCCTTCCACTACCAACAACGTGTGTCAACCATTAACCAAGCTGAGTAGGAATATGCAGGACTTCTTACAAGCTTTTAGTAGTAATATTGGTACAAGCTGAAAGCCTTCAAGAAGCAGCAATTTTCTCAAGTGTTCAGTCTGACCCGAAGATTTCAGTAATAAAAAGGCACTTAAAGGTATTCCTTCGAGCTCCCTCTTCACCACTGGTTTGGAAAGGACACACTGCCAGTCAGAACTAAGAGTAGCAGTATATTATTGACTGCCATTTATCTTTCAAGGAAGTTTAGGCTATAGAGCTGCTGTACAGAGTAAACCATTGGTCAAGTGTCTTATCCAGTAGTTCTCAGTCCATGATTGGCAGCCAACATGTTTCCTATGAGACACCCTAGTAGCATTGTGACCAAAGAAAATTCCAAACTTAAAGCTAATGTTTGCAATACACTACTGGGTCAGTACCAAGAAGAGACCCAAACTTTGAGTCATACAGCTCCTGTTCCAATGCGGCAAACCAACTTCAGAGGAATTACCTCCTTCTCTAGAACATCAGCTGACAACATTCCTGAGCCTACACAGCCCATATAGGTGAAAAGTAAAAGGCAAAAGTAGAGTGAAAATACTTCCAAAATGGGAAGTGACAGACAATTCCAAATATTTGACATGCAGGATGGAAAACGTGCAATTTTGTGTTTGTATTATTGCTCCACCAAACCAATCTATACATAACAGTGATAATAAACCTTTGTCTTCCAGGACTAGAACAGTCAGGAAGATGAAAGAACTTGTCACTTTAGAGAACACCACTGTTTTGCAGGGCCTCTGCCTTTGTGTAATGGAGCAGCATGATCCTACCTTAATGACGTCTTCGTCTGATGATCTGCACTCCACAGATTCCAGAAGATCGGTCACGGTCCCATCATCTTCCACAGAGATCACTTTGACAGGGACAGCCACTGTTTTCCCAGTGAGGATAGCTGTATTCAGGATCTCTGCTTCCTAAGACACAAAAAAAAAGCCCCTTTAGTTACTATATTTTGCTGTTAATTCATTAGTACCACTTAGATTCAGCTTTACTTCTCATGGCTACGGCAAGAACTGTTCCAAGTGCAGCAGGTAGGAAAGACAAATTTCCTTCCTTCAATCCTGGAATCAAACTCCCAGTTCTGATTGAGGGCTGTCAAGATATTTGTCATGCCCTAATTTCTATTTCATGAATGCCTATCAAGTGTCAGAGCAACCTAACAGCTGAAGAATGACCCTGCACCACATAAACAAGATGTACCCTGCATCTAGCAATAGTGAAATCTCCATCTTGAGGAGTTCCCTAATGATCTTGCTGATCATATAAAAACAATGTCTTAAGTCTTGCTGTTTTACCCACAAAACTGTTTTCTGTAAGGTTTTCCACAAATACTGGAATTCTATGACGCTATTGGAGGAATACTGTCAAAATTTAGACCAAAGAAATACTGTACAATTATTAGGGAACAAGTTTGGATTGAGGACAGTCAGAAATCCACTTTTCCCCAAATGTCCTGGGTGATCTTTTACAATTCCCTGCAGTGAGTGTGGGGGTCTTCTAAAATATGCACACTTTCTAACTTCCAGCCTGCAGACAGCCTCCCTAGGGATGACAGCTGCCACAAAAGCCACCTGATAGCATGTTAAAGCATCTGGCATGCAGGGTCTGCTCTAGTATGGCCTCTGACTGCACATTCGGTCGGGCGTTCAGGCTGGCTATATGTATGGAAGCAACTCCAGTCTTAGGGGCAGGCTTTAGGCTGCTCTTTGGGATGCAATGTTGACAGATTCAACAACTCACAGCCTGTAAAAAGGGCTGGTGGCACTGTCTCTCATGACAGATAAAACCTGGGTTCCCCTGCTCCGCCTCCTAGGGCATTAGTTTAAGAGTGCCACCATTCTGGTCCTGCATAAATGACTATATGTATCACAGGACTGTGGGGAATCAGACCCTTTTCAGGTTTTCTAGGACTTCTCCTGGCTTTTGGTGGGTAGTGGTGGGCAAGCACTTGTTCACAACTGTTTCTTTGTCTTTTAATGAGGCTTGTGCAAAAACCATCCTCTCCTAAAAAGGAAGGATGCTAAGAAGGGCCTGAGCACTTTAAACAATATAAGCTCTGCAGTGACCTGTGTCTCTGGTACATCATTGTTGTGATGATTATTGCAACATGCACTCCTTCTGTTTGATTTATCACTTCTAATTTACAAGTGTTGTGTTCTGATTACACGAAGAGCACGAGACTAAACAGTGCTCTCAGTTACCTGGGTGTCACATCAGTCTCGCACAGCAGATGTCACTGACTTGTGCCAAGATACACAGAGAGCACAAATCGGTACCTGAATTCTTCCGCTCCTAATTGCAAGATACTCCTTATTCCCAGAAAGGTCTCTGAGCTTTTCAGAACTGTGCCTGCGAATCACAGACTATCCTGTAGAACAAGAGGCTCTTGATTTCAGCTGGTTTTTGTGAAATAAAGGCTTCCAAAGCCCCCCAAGTGCTAACTTCTCATTATCTAAATAGCTCATGCTATGAGCTCTGAGACTGACCTGATTTTACTTGTGGAAGACAACGAAGTGGGAGATTGAAACCAAGTTACCAGAAGATGATAACTCCCCCTACTGCCTCTTGGGCTAAAGAGGAGAAGCTGAGATTTCTCTCATCTAAAGGATACCGATCAAAAAGACCTTTTCCTATTACTTAAAGAAACAGAGACATTTTATTCAGACTCAAAGCAATATTTAAAGAAAGAAAGAAAAAAAACCCTCCTGTTTTTTTGATAGCTGCTTTGCTAAAGTTGCCCCATCCTCACCATGATCTTCAGGGGAGGGTAAAATTGGATTTCACAAAAAGGGAACTTAAGAAGAAAATCCTCTCCCTCCCTTGGCACAAAAGCCCTTCAGATATTTTGAAATTATAATTCATACAAAGGTGAGAATATCCGTCTGTACTGTACAGCCCTTCTGTCTTGAGTGCACATTTGCTCTCAGTAGATAATATATTATTCAGGCAACTGAGATTTCAGAAAGATTTGCAATTAAGTTTCCTGATTCTTTTTTTTTTTTTTTCACATGTGGGCTTTGCAGCAAAGTTACTGCATGCAGGTTATTTAGATACTTTTGCCACTCTCCTATAGGCTCCACAGAGCTGCAAATGGGGGCAGCTCTATGGAACAAGTGCTATTAAGCATCCACTATAATTACAGAACTCAGGCACTAGGTCCTGATTTTGCAAACACTTGGCCATGAATCTCATTTCATTGGGACTATTTGAGGCCATACTGCACGCCTAGCTACTCAGACTTTGTACCAAGCTGAAAAGACCTGCTCCCCCAAGCA